TGCAGTTTTTATTACTATTGCTCTGTAGCACAGCTTGAGATCAGGGATGGAAATGCCTCCAGATGATCTGATTTCACCTTACACCCATCAGAATAGTTAAGATCAAGAAACTCAAGTGACAATATATGCTGGAGAGGATGTGGAGAAAGGGGAAACCCTCCTCCATTGCTAGTGAGAATGTAAACTTGTACAACCACTTTGGAATTCAATCTGGCACTTTCTCAGACAATTAGGAATAGTTCTTCCTCAAGATCCACCTATACCATTCCTAGGCATCTATCCAAAATATGCTCAAGTATACAACAAGGACATTTTCTCAACCATGTTCATAGCAGCTTTATTCGTAATAGCCAGAACCTGGAAACAATCCAGGTGTCCCTTAAAGGAGGAATGGATACAGAAATTGTGGTATATTTACAGAATGGAATATTACTCAGGTATTTAAACCAAGGAAATCATGAAATTTGCAGACAAATAGTGAGAACCAGAAGAGATCATTCTGAGTGAGGTATCCCAAAAACAGAAAGACACACATGATATATACTCACTTATAAGTGGATATTAGCCGTATAATATATGATAAACATGGTAAAATCTGTACACCTAAAGAAGCTAAGCAAGAAGGAGGGCCCTGGGTAAGATGATCAATCCTCACTCAGAAAGGCAAATGGGACGGACATTGGAAGAGGGAGGAAACAGGACAGAAGCCTACCACAGAGGGCTTCAGAAAGACTCTGTCCAGCAGCATATCAAAGCAGATGCTGAGACTCATAACCAAACTTTGGGTAGAGTGCAGGGAATCTTATGAGAAAAAAAAAAAAAAAAAAAAAGACTTGGAAGGGACAGGAGCTCCACAAGGAGAGCAACAGAACCAAGAAATCTGGGACCAGGGGTCTTTTTTGAGACTGATACTCCAACCAAGGACCATCCATGGAGATGACATAGAACCCTTGAACAGATATAGCCCATGGCAACTCAGTATCCAAGTGGGTTCCCTAGTAATGGGAACAGGGACTGTCTCTGACATGAACTCAGGGGCTGGCTCTGAGGGGAGAGCAGCCTTACTAGGCCACAGAGAAAGACAATGCAGACAGTCCTGATGAGACCCGATAGATTAGGGTCAAATGGAAGGGGAGGAGGACCTCCCTATCAGTGCACTTGGAGAGGGGCATGGGAGGACATGAGGGGGGGGAGGGAGGATAGGAAGGGAATGAGGGAGGGGGCTACAACTGAAACACAAAGTGAAAACTGTAATTAATATAAAAAATAAAATAAAAATAAAAAAGAAATTTTGCATAGGTCAGATGACCACTGAGCAGTGACAGAAGAACTCATAATCTCAGTCTGCTGACTCTGAGCTCATTGTCTTTTCCTCACTGTCTCTAAGTACACAGGTTATAAATGAATTTACACAAGGCTAGATGGACCAGGAAAGCACTGAAGTCCCATGTGTTCATGGAGACTTTTGACTATGGCTTTAAAATGACTAAAATCCAGATGAACTAACTCTTCAGAAGGCAAGTTTGTGATGAAAGAGTATAGGATGCTAAATTTAAGGTAAATGTCTAAGGAAGTAGGATATTTGCATACATTGAAGAGTCTCCCAAATAACAGCTTATTAGTGTAATATACAGAGACCCCCATCTTCCCATGTAGCATCCTAAGGATACAGCAGTACATCCCTCCTGTTATAAATGGAAAAGCATAACCTGAATCTAACTACAAGTATGTGTCAGATGAGCCCTAAGTGAGGGATGCTCTAAACAGAAGAGTTGGGAAGAGTGCTGTGCTCATGTCAGTGGCACAGGAGTGACAAGGGTCCAGACTGAAAGAAACACAAGAAAGAGGTGACTAGAATACCTGATTCTAGACTGAAGGCTTTGCTATAGTAGAAAATATTACTTGAAAGATATAGCTCAGTGGCAGAGCACTTGCCTAGAAGACTACATTCAATCCCCAGCACCAGCAAAACAAAGGACACTGTAAAAGAGTATTAGAGGTCTGGGTGTGATGATGCATGCTTACAATCCCAGCACACCAAAGGCAAAGGGAGGAGGACCGAGTTCAAGGTCAGCCTGGGCTGCATAGTGTGGCCTTGTCTCAAAAAGGAATGAATAGATAAGTAAAAATGAACAGATAAATAAAAACAAATAAAACATTGAGCACAGATGTTCTAGTCAATAACATATCAACATTCAATCTCAAGTTGTTAACTCTTATAGTTAAATAAGGACAGCATTGTTTTTCAGATGTACACTCATGAATTTGAGGCAAAAAATATATGCAATGATAGATGGAGTCAAACAACAACAAAATGAAATCTGGGCAAATGCATGAGGGTGTATGCATAAGTTCCCTTTGCCTCTTCCCCACAGGCCTTCAACTGTAAAATAATAATGATGATAATAATAATAGTGAGAACATTAGCAATGCTGAGGCAGTAAGTTCAGGAACACACTGAAGTCTGGAAGCGATGGTGGCTTTAAAATTCCAGCAGTGAGGTGGCAGAGGCAGCTGCATCTTTGTGAGTTCAAAGGTAGCCTAGCCTATATTGTAAGACACTGTCTCAACAAAACAAAAAAGGCAGTTTGGTGAGTAGGCCAGGCAGCAGTGGACAGAGGCATGTGAGGCCCAGGGAAGCAGAAGGGAATCATAATCGAGTGTCTAGGCCTTAAATAAGGACTCAGGGACAAACGGTGGTTGGAGGAAACGTGGAACAGACCTGAAGAGGAGTTAGTCATGGGTACCTTAAAGGGCAGAGCATGTAGAGGACAGTACGAGGTCTACTCTAGCCTCAACATAGGTAGGCAAGAACATGATGGCCTTGTGTGGTCTGACTTCAATACTAAGCTTCAGGCATAGCCAACTGAGGACAGTGAGAGAAGCCACCAGTACCTGACCTGTGTGTTAACAAGGTTACAGGATCTGTGCATTAATGAGATGACCCACGAAATATGGGATGAAATAGAAGGTGCAGCAAGCCATTCAATCTCTTCCCCCTGTCACTAATCTGGAAGACAGAAAGACCACCCAGAAAAAAGCAGGTAAGTTTTGGCTCAACATGGGCTCTCTCTGCTTCACACAGTGCCCTGGGATCTATTCCCACAGTAAGACAGCCATGTTTTTCGTCATGACCATGAATTTTCCTTTTCTTAACAATTCATTCTAAATTTAGATCTCAAGTGAATGGTAGTAGGAAAGACAATGATGTATGAAATTAAATAATTTAACATTTATTAATGGAAACAATACAAATACAATACAAATAAAATCATAATAAAATATTTCAGAAGGCAAATACTATTTGCTTTGAGGTGGTTTCTAATCCAATCAGGTTAATACTGGGAGAGAATCCATGGAGACTACCTTTTAGGGAAAAAGGCTGTGAAAGTGAGCAAAAGGATAGTTGTGATTACTACCCAGACTGTTTTCCTTGTTTACACAGCAATGCTAGCTACTTCATGTCACTGAAACACAGGCAGTTTTCAGCAACAGCCACCAGGGTACCTGCCAGAGGACTTTTAGAGTTCCTACTGAGTCTTGGTGGGTTTTAAAAATGAGGAGCAGTACTGTTAGGCCACAGAGGACTTTGCAGCCAGTCCTGAAAATACCTGACAAAACGGAGTCATATGAAAGGGGAGGAGGTCCTCCCTATCAATGGACTTGGAAAGGGGCAGGGAGGAGATGAGGGAGGGAGGGTGGGATTGGGGAGGGAATGAGGGATACAGCTGGGATACAGAATTAACAAAATGTAACTAATGAGAAAAATAAAATTAAAAAAATAAATAAATAAAAGACTAAAATAACAGGTTCACCGGAAAAAACAACCGTGTAACATTGAGTGGCACAGGAGCCTCACCTCCTACCAGTGTTACTGGCTTCCTTGTGACCAAAACACAATCTCAGGGCAATTCCAGTTACCAGCATCAGAAATGGTCTCATCATAGACAGATATAAAATTCAGGGTTCTACAAAACCCACGATGCAGCCTACAAATATAGGTAGCTAAGAATTAAGCAACAACAAGTAAGTGGTCAGCAGTTATTCCTACGAAGTAAGCTAAGGAAAGGGCTTCGAGGAAGTAAACTTTTTGTGGAACTTGAAGGGAAATTTATCTTTCCCTTCATCGCGATAGGTGACTTGCCTCTAATATTGCTGAAAATAAAAAGGCTTAGAAAGCCAGCTAGATATCCTTATCCCCATCTTGATTACATATATAAAACAGCGGCAACAAGCAGCCTAGCACCTTCTGGTTTCAACATTTCCTAAGCACAGATGGGTCAAGTAGCCTAGTGGTAAGAACAGGTGCTCTAACAACAAATGGACCTGGATTGGAGTCCTGGATCAACATGGGAAAACAGGTTAACTGTCTTAACACAACCCTACTCTGTGCTGTGTGAAAAGGGCCTAAGATAACACACTAAGTGAGCTGATTACAGAAGACAAAGCATTGTATGACTCTATTCACAGGATGGACTAAGAACAGGTAACGTCAGGGAGACAGAAAATAAAAGGGTGGTTGCCAGGGGCTGGGGGAAAGAGAAAGGAGGGTTAGTGTTTAATGGTCTACAATTTCAGTTTGGAGAGATGAAGAAAAGTTCTAGAGGAATGGTGTCAGTGATTGTCCAATGGTGAATATATTCATGGCACTGAGCTGCATGCTTACAGATGTTGAAACACTAAGTTCTATGATATCTATTTTCTACCACAATTTTAAAGAGTCAGACTGTCTCAAAATAAACTGTGAGAATTCACAATAATGATGCTTCAACTGTTAATATTTAGTTCTAGTTCAGGTATCCTAATTAAAAATTTGAGGGAGTAATTTTTAAAAATCTAGACCTAAGAGCATAAGGGAAAAGAAACCATGTCTCTAAGGGAGTGCTCACGTCACAATTGCTTACCGAGGAATGTGATTTTCTTTCGTTGCCAAGACAGCAACTGTTGCTGTGGAAACCACACAAAAACAGGGCTACTTAACTGAAACAAACTCCACTTACTTGCACAAAGATGCCCTTGCTCTTATACTCCTCGTGGAGGCACTGAGAGAAGAAATCTACAAAAGCCTAGGAGGGAGGTAGGAGGGAGAAAGAAAACACATATATTACATCAAACTGCCTGGAGTGTAGCCATGGAAACAACAAAATAATAAATTAACCATTTAACACTACTGTTTCTAGTCATTCCTTTCACTTCAAATGCAGAAGAGACAAAAACGCCTTAAAACCTTAGGAGATTTTTCTGCCATAAATGACATTATCTTACCAAAAGTAATATTTAGCCCAATTTTTGAGTTAATGAGAAAAGAGTCCCTCCCAAAAAATTATTTCCCAAAGAACAGAAATTTTTTTTCATTATATAACGAAGGATTTAATTCTATTTTCTACTTGCCACTCTAGCAGAAACCCAGAGAAGTGTCTATGATCTGAGAAGTGAAGGCAAGAGCCCACCTGATAATGCAACTGTGAAGCTATCTGTAAACCATGCAGGCCATGGTTTTCAAATGTGGACTCTGTATCAGGCTTAAAATGCCAAGTTCAATAACAACCCATTGAAGGTCTCCATTGGGAATAGTCTACATCCACGGAGATTTCCAGATAGGGAATTCTAAGATAAGATGTTGATTACACATGTTGATAATACGTTCTGGCCACAGAGAAAACAGGTAGATCAGGGGGGCTGAGGTGCTGTGCAGGACTCAGAAGACAGCAATGACTAAGTTTTCTCAATGAAAAGGTGTGTTTTGCACTTTTCCTTCTCTGATATAGTGTAAGTTCTTATTATGTATTATGGTTTACTTATTTTCCCCAAAGCCTTGCTTAATTTCAACAACTAAAATGATCATTTTTCCCCCTTCAGAATGTTTTCCAAGCTTTAATGAAGCAAATGTAGTTGGGGCTATTGACCTGTAGATATGAGAAGATGCAGTTTATCTTAGTGGTAATTGTGAATAAGTGAATGACAGCATTGTACGATGACATACAGTTCTGGAAAATTCCTACAACACTCAAGAAATAATGACAGTATCTGGAGTTCTGGATGATGTGGCAGTATATTCACTCTGCCTTTGGTCTATTTCTTATCTGCTGAGTGTATCTGTGGCGCTGGAAGGATGCACTTCCTTGTTGTGTGAAGTTGACTTGTTCATGTTACCAACATTCTCACTTTAGGCTCATTAGCATCAGGTTCTAATCATCTGGGTGGACTGGTGTAGGCTAGGTCTCTACAGAAAGCATAAGTGTCCCTGTTAAAATCAGTAAAATACTAGGGAACAAAATCAGAGTTTTAGTGGCTCTGACCACTGACAATCCACTTCTAAGACTAGTTCCATCTGTGACACTCCAGAAAACCATGTGAGGCATCTTCCTGTCCTTGGTCAACTGAAAAACTAGAAAGCATAGCATTTCAAGCACGTTAAAGCTACATTAACTGCCCAGACTAAAAATCACCCCTCAGTCTTATATTGACATAATTTTAGTGCAATGCTCCTCACCTTGGTTGCAGAGTAGATAGTCAACAGTGGAACCGGGACCATGCCAGAGGCAGAAGAGATGTTGAGAATCACCCCTTTAGACCTAGAATTGAAAACACAGCACATAAAGTGGGGGAAATCATATGTACATCTGCTTGTGAGTTACAGTCGAGACAGAACAACAAGGCTGCTGCTCTAGCACTCATCTCCCTGCCTCTCATGAGCATTTGGTATGTCTGGCCAGTGAATGAAGCATAACTCAATGAACTAAAAATAGCTCTTCTTTATGATGAGCTCATTTCCCAGTCTTACTAATCCTAAGCATAACTGGATCAGCTAGATAGTCTCCTTTAGTTGTCTCTATACTTTGTGAGGTCCTCTGTGGCCACAGTATCAGAAATTCTTACCTACATGGGAGAGGGGAGCAACATGTGGAATTATGACTTCAGAAATATGAAAACTAGCTACCAACTTGTCCTCTCAAATCCATACTCATTTGTTTTTACAGCACTGGGAATGGAACCTAGAGTCTTATGTACGCCAGGCAAGTGCTCTACTATTGACCTACAACCTCAGCCCAGCCCTCTTCTTCAGCCACTGAAATCTGGTCCTAGCCCCCATCTCAGGAAGTTCGCTCCTCAGTTTCCTCCCCTCTACATAGTCTGTCTCTGTTCTATATGTGGATTTCTATTCCTAAGTCCTGTTTGTATTCACAATTTAGCGGAAAGAGAAGAAACCCAGAACCCTTTTATGTAAAACATAAAACAGCACGAGACGACACATGATTAAATGGCATATATGAGTCATTTTAGATATAAATCTGAAGAGAAATAATTCCCAAAGGTCAGCATTCCATCTGCTGGCCTTCAGGCAAGACGTCACTGTGACCATCAAAGAGAAGTCTGGACCCTCTGCCTCATGGGTGTTACCAGAATCTACTTAGTTGTTTATAAAACAGAAGTCCTTACTAGTAATATACACTTTCCTAAGCAGTGAAACCCACTAACATCTTGGCGATCAAAATAAAATTTCAAATTTAAGCAGGATAAAGAATTTTTTATGTTAAAATGAACTAACATGTTAGTTACATCATCCTTATATTGGTATCTCCTTTTTTAAGGCAAAAAATTGTTTGTTTGTTTTTTAAATCAGGAGTTAGAAACCAGCCCTTTCAGTTAAAAAAAAAAAAAAAGGCAAATTAGCAATAAATACCTCGCAATTTCATTTTCTACACCTATAAACAATTCCCGTCACGAAAGCAGAACAAAACAATCTTTTATTACAATCAAATATTGCTCCTTTGATAAAAATGGAATAAGAACCACATCTTCAAAATTATTATTTTAGGGTGCTGAAAATATTCTCCAATTAGACTATACTGACAGCTGCCCAGCTCTGAATGTGCTGAAAATGACTGAACTGCATAATTTAAAGAGATATATAGTTTACAGCATGTAAAACAAGCCAGCAAATCTGTAAAACACAAGAAATCTGTTTCTATTAGAACACACAGCCTTTTGGCTGGGTGGGATGCCACGGAGGTGGACACAAAGGGCTGTGGCTACTCTGGCAAAGCACACTTCCCGCGGAGCAACTCCAAGCTCACAGTCACTCCACATCAAGCTTTACCCAGGAACTGCTGCTCTGTCTTCAAGAATACAGTGGAAGGACAGAAAGCCTGTTTAAAGTAGATGCGGGCAGTGCTGTCCCTGAAGCTACAGCCTGCTACCACCGCTTAGAACCAGACTCTGACCCATTACAATCAGCTAGCTGGAGTGGCTGCACATGTCCTTGAAAAAAACCCTCACATTTTCTGTTACTCACAAATGAAATATAAAATTGAAGGTAAAGGTTAAGGTTTAATGCTATGACTTCAACAGAAGAAAAATCATTTAAAGATAATAAAAGCCCCTTTCCCATTTTACAAAATATCAATAATCCAACATGTCACAATAATGTAGTCACTCTGTAATTGATACACTTCTTAAGGTAACTAAAATCTTCGTTTCACAAAAACTCTCTTGTGACTGGAAATTTCTAGGAGTTGGGGAAACTGCATACTGAATGTTTTTGCAAAATTCTGGGTTCGGTTCCCAGAACCCACATGGCAGCTCCCAGCTCCCAGTGAGTAACCCCAGTGCTAGAGAATCAGTGCCTTTTCTGGCTACATGTAGTGAATAGGCTTGTATAAGGAAACATGTCCATATAAATTAAATTTAAAAATCAAAAAAAAAAGAAGAAAAAGAAAAAATAAGGGAGAGAAGAAAGAAGAATATTAGTAGTGAGTAGAGCTATTCAGTCAAAAATTTCAAGTACTTTATAAAAACAAACTATTTATATTTCAAAATACATCAAAACATATTTAAGCCTGTCAGAGTGCTTTTTAAAATGAGAATATACTAGATGTGAGTAAATAACTACAGAGCCAACACTTGTATAATTGTATCTAACTGACAGCAGAGAAAGTGTCCCACCTATCAATCTGTCTCACTGTTGAGAACACACATATTTGTTTAGCAAAGACCTTCCTATGATCCCTCCCATAACAACATTCAAAGCTCTCTTCTCCAAGGAAAAAATAATTCTGTTTGCCTGCATTCGAACACTAGGATGCCCTACAACAATCCCTATAATGTGCATCTCCTTACATAGAAATGGGGTGAACATTTGGATCTGTGGGGCACAAAAGACTCATCTTTACAATCAACTACTTTGTCTAGCTCTAATCCTTCATCTAAGCAGAATTAGTGACGTCAAACTAGTTTCCATGGCACAGCCGGGCTCATGACAACTCTGTTATATCAAGCAGAAGGGCAAAATAGGCTACGCTTAATTGCACACAGAGACAAACATAAGCCAAGCTGGTTAATCTCTCATTTTCTGAGGCTTGGGAACAATGGAAGCACATTAAAAATTTCTGCTGAAGTTCCGTTATTGAAGACCTGTTCTGCTCATACTTCAGCACATTTCCTAGTTTGTTGTGACAACATCATATACACAAATAAAGCAACATTTTCTGTGATGCAATATTTGTAACTGATCTCACAGCTTACTTGCTAGCTATCATGTGATGGTGCCTTGGAGATCATTGAGAATCTACCAGAACTAAAATGCTTCAGAAACAAAGCACAATAATTAACTCCACTTTAGGACATACCTCTTCAACTCAACAGTCACCTCCTTTATTAGTCCTATCAGAAGCCAATTAATAGGCTTGTCCAGCCCTTTAAAACTAAGCAACTTTTATTTACAGCTTCCTTACAGCTATGCTCTCTAGGATTCCCTTAGACTTGGGCAACTCCTCATGAGACTCCTCATGTGGATTTTTAAAAATTGCCAAGCTTTTGTTCTACAAATGCGTCACTATTCTACCCCTGAAGCATCCCTGACCCCACCTCTATAGAAACACTGATGCTGTGAAGGAATAACAGTCTCCTTTGAAAGAAGTCACTGATTCTGACCTGACTCAGGAAACCTCAGCAGTGCCCCACCCTGCAGCAGAGAAAGGAGGGGACCCAGATGGTCAGTCAGTGTAGACTGCTAACCAGACAGAGTGGTGGCTACAGACTCCATCTCATTCCTTTACATTTCTATTACACATGATAGAGGACAGAAGTGCAGTCTTACAGGGTCATTAGAGAGTTTTCTAGGCTTAGACAGAAAAGAGAAATTGGTGTAGACAGCTCTCTAATTGACTCCTAAGAACAGAGAAACTATCAAAACAGTGCTCAGTGTCAGAGAAGAATCATGGAACATGGGGTCAGATAAATACAATTAGAACAAGCAATCAAATTCTCACACTATACAAATACCATTTTGTTGAAAAAAGTTTGCAAACATTTAGCACATGAAAGAGAATTACCTGCCCTAAAACGCCATAACATGTCATAATTCCACCTTAAGCAGTACAATATGAAAGAGACTATTTTTAGCCTTTCCATGGTTGTTATGGCAACCACCTCCTGGCTCCAGCTGTACACAATGTTTATCATTCCAGGGAAGTAAAGAGAGCAAGGTTCCCGATAATGTAATTATGCATTTCCTATATGTATGGTGATAACACCTTAGTCTGGTTACTGATACTTGTTTAGTGATAGTTGGCTTGCTCTAGAAGGTTTAAAAAAATCTCATACTCAGTGACAAAATCACTGAAAGGGAGGAGGGAAAAGAAACCAACGACAAATGTTCTTTCTAAAGGACACTGCTGTTACTCAATGAGAATACCAATCCTATGGAAACTACCATAGAAATAGGTCACTTTGGGGAGGTGTAAAGAAAAGCTAGAATGAAGCCACTTATAAGGTATTAGTGAGACCACCCTCAGACATCTACTTACTTGGAGCTTTTCCTTCCTTTTGGCAAACAACTGACATTTCTGCCCTCCCTTGCAGTAAGTTGCAGCTTGTGACAGATGGGAGTTCAGAACAACAGAACGTGCTATGCACTCCTTCTAGGGCTGACCCATGACACCTCCCCTAAACTCATCCTGCTTCTCTTCCTTTACCTGTTAGCTGGGTGAAGAACCATTAAGACCTTCAAGACTCAAGACAAAGCCCCTAGATGGAGGAGCCCAAGATTCCTGAAGGACTAGGCAGAGAAGTAAAGGGAAATAAATCTTTCCTCTGATAAGAAATGATAGGTTGGGGGGG